GGTATATGACATACTAGTAAGAAAAAAAATACTTAAAATAAACTTCCATCTAAATGTCAACATACAGTTTTCAATAAGTGACATTTGACTATTACATATGTCATTCATGATTCCCTATAATTAAGAGAAAAAGTGTTTTTGTTTCAGATCATAAAATGCCAATGAAAGTACCAAAGTTAAAAAAACTACCATTTGTAGAAGATAACAATGAAACAGTGCTAAAAGTTGAAGAACTAGTAAGGTTTCTTAGAAAACATGTAACAGAAGGAGATAAAGCCATCAGAATAGATAACCTGAAATTAGAACTATCCAAAAAGAAAGAATTAAGAACTGTAGATGCCAACACGTTTGTGACATTTCAGGGTGTTATAGTGTACATTTTTAATCATATAAATGACTATGCTATCTGCCAAACTATTGCTGCAGAAATTTCAAAAGTCCTTTGTGGAAAGACAGATGACGGTCCAAAATCTATACTAGAACTTTACAGAGATATTGTAAATGTAAATTTTTTACAGCCATTTGGTAAAATAGCCATAAATGAAAATAATTTGCAAACACTTCACATCAATTACAAGGCGAACTTTAGTGAGAATGAATGGGAACAAATATGTAGATTTGAGTACCAGTTTAGTAGGAAAAATCCACACATATTAGACTTTGAAGAAACCTTCTCAAGAAAATCTGCTTTTCTAAACAGACTTAAAAAGATTTGTGAAATTGGGCAGCATGTTAATAGAGACATTTCCGAATTTATCACAGAAAATGAGCAGAGAAAAGAGGCTTCTGAGTTAATAAATGGAGAAACAGTCAAACTGAACAATATTATCCACACGTACAATGGTCTTCGACAATCGGTCGAAAATAACCAGGAATATATATTCAAGCAGAAACCCACTGTAACTGTAACAGAGTGTCTGCCATCACAATGTATCAACCATACCAATGGCGTTCATGCATTTGTTGAATGTAAAGCTGAAGCTGACTTTGGGTCACTAGAGGAACAAGCTACACTACTTCGTTCAGATTTAAATAAAACACATGGTGTTGTTGTACCAGAAGTTATTTTTCTTGAAGAAAACACTCTGAATGGATAAAGTTGTAAACAATGTACAAATGACAACTACCACAAGTTTCATTTGAGAGATGACTATTTTTCAGGGAAGCTAGGGAACAAGATTGTTCATGTTTTACACGAATATGATGAAGATTATATTGACTTACTAGAACCGAAAACACTCAAACATCAAGACGATGACGCCAATGTTTACTGTGAATACTGTTTTCAGAATATTTCATCTCACATCTTTAAACCTCTTGATTGGAAGCACTTTGACCTCCTAAAAGAATGGTACTTGGAAGTTCCATTAGAGTTGCAAACAATATTTGGCAATCTTTTTATCAACAAGGACACATTGCGAAGATCTGACTGCAGTGAAGGCTACTTATTTACACGAATAGGAAAACTGTACTGTCTTCTGGACTCCGGATTTAACATCTCTAATAGAAAATATCATGGAATACTACAACAAATGAACACTGAAGAACTAATTGTCAACTACCACTCAATCTCAACAGTATTTGATGTCACAACACAAAGTGGGATAACTAAAAGTCTAAAGTCAGCTACAAGATGGTTACAGTCACGTTCTGACCTTGACAAAAGATATTACGATGCCTATCTGAAGCACTATCCATTAGAACATCAAGATCCACAAGGTGAAGTTTCAAAAATGGAGGTATGCATGAGAGACTGCTATAATATTGTGTACTTAGATAATTTAGTACGATGGAGTATTCATGCTGATCCTGATCCAGGTAAAAACAGAACAAGTCAGATATGTACTCTTCCCATCACAATAAAAGGACTTCCTAAACAGTCATACATAATTAAATCTTGGCACCAAGAAGACTGTGATCTACTTGACAACTGTAATTGTATGCAGCAAATCAAACTTGGAAAAGACCAATGCAAACTTTTATTGGAATATGAAGACAAAGAAAAAGAAGCACTTCAAATATTAGATGTACAAACAAAATTAGGGGTCGGACTACTTGTTCCTGCTTTAAAGACACTTATATCAGAATGTACAGATATATTTAATCAAGATATTGAAGATGAAAATATACTTGACATTTCAAAGGAACTGGGAAATCTTGACATATCAATGGAATCAACATGGTTAGCTGAAATAGACACTTCAATGCGATCCATGAAACTGGATGATTATGTTGATGAAGATGAACCAGACGATCAGAATGGTATTAACCTTGATAATTTGGATGAAAGTGATGAATTCCTTGATGACATCATAGAAGAAGAAGATTTTTTTGAAGGTATTCAGCCATTGGATATTTCCACTGAAGAACATCCACAGGAGTTAACAGAAGACCAGGATGAAACACCCACAGAGAACCTAATTGAAAATCTGTCCACAAATACAAACGATGGACCAGTGCTGGTAAATAATGTATTAACACGAACAACATTTAGAAAATTTGATGTACCACCACTACTCTGCAGACACCCAACGCCTGCACAAGGACGAGATGATGATATTAACCACTTAAAAGATATTTTGTTGGATATCTTAACAAAGTTAGGTAGATATCCAGGAAAGGAGTATAAAGAAAGAATACTGTTTGCACCAGATCATAAAATTGCAAAAAATCTTCTTCAGTTAATCAGAACAGATAAGATCTTTAGACAGTTTTTACCAGAATTTCCAGTGTTGCACCTCAAAAAATCTAAAATAACCAACCTTTTCACAGCTTACAAAGATGCTGGAGTACTTCATCTTTTAAAGTACATGAAAGATTCAGACAATGACTCCGACCTAACAGATGTGACCTCAGTTGTTAATATTGAAGCAGCAGCAAAAAATATCAAACGATTAACACTGGCATTAAATTCCTCATTTCCTTTATGCAAAACCTTAATAAACCTGAAACCATGGAATTTCTGAAAGATATTGAGCTCAATGATATTTCCTTACTGCATAAAAAATGGTATAGCAAACTTGACAAATTTATGGAGAAAGGGAGAGACAACGCAACATTTGCACTACATGAAGATTTGCTAAAACACTGTACAGAAATATTAGGGATCAGCATTGCCGAACGTATTGGAGGTATAGATGGCTATAACTTACTTCTTGGTTGTGTCAAATCATCACTTCCATTTGCCTTTCTAAATGGTGCTTCTTCCTATGCATCATTTTGTGTAGATTTGTTGCACGTTCATTACACATCTGGAGTCTTCCATACAAACATGAAGCAATGTTTATTTACGACTCCACATAAAAACAGCAACGTTAATTTTGCATTAGATGCACAAAGAGAAATGGATCACCTAGATGCTGTTAAAGGGTTTCGTCCACGATCTACTATAGATGCTGTAATACCACGAATGTCCATAGTGGACCATTTTACAGATGTACAACACTTTAGACAAGAACTCAATAAATCTGATGTAAATGAGACAGTCCTTTCCCAGCAAAATAAAACAGATGATGGGGAAAAATCAGTTTACAACTTATCACCAAATTTGAATTTTGACATATCATCAAAAGACCTTAAGTTTATAATTCCAGTTGCAAAACTTATAACACGTGTTGGAGCGCTGAGTTTAAAACCAGACAGTACACAAAGAAATGTGTACAATCCAACACAGCCAGCATTACCTGAATCCTTATTAGACAAAAACTCGTATCAAGCTGGAAGATTTTTGGTAAAAAAATATGCATGTCAACAGAAGATTTTTGAATTGTCCAATGAAGACCTGCCTGGAATAGAAACAGTGGAGGGTTCAAAAAATTTAATTCAGAGATTAAAAGCAGCCAAAGGAGTTACATTAAGAAGGTCAACTATCAAATCCAAAATCATGACAGAAGATCAGAAGAAAGAGGCAAAACGTGTGGCCCATGTTAAGAAACAAAATACAATTGCAGATTGCATCAGCTCTGATATGAACACCTGTCAGGCTGTAGTAAAACCTGACTGTTCTAAAGCTTCCCTGCAAAAATCAACTGGTATAAAGAAAGCACTGAAAAAAGTAATATCCAGACATGATTTTCTTCCGCTTTAAAGCGGAATTCCGCTTTTCGTCTTGTCCGATTCCGATTTTTTGTTGAACTTTCCGTTTTTTCGTTTTTTTTGTCAGATCCGTTTTTTACACAAGTCCGCTCCGTTTCCGGGTTGATATTTTACTTCAATCTGTAAAAAGCGATATGATTAGTTGAATCATTCTTATCTCCAAATGAAGGATCGGATTACAAAGCGGTATTAAATATCACTTTCGCTTTCAACAGCATGGCTTCCAATGTTGTTGAACGCGATTTTGACACAAAATTGTTAGATAAAGGGTTGAAAAATGTGTGGAAATGGGAATGGCTTGAGCGGAAAGTAGACAAAGAACTTGTTGGTCGATTTATTAGGAAGATTAATGTAAAAGGAGTTGCACATTGTAACTTGTGTAGGAAGGATATAAATTATGCAAGTCGAGGATGGAAGAGTCTGGAACAGCATCTCCTGAAAAAAGTGCACCAAGACAACTTGAAAATCCGTAGCTCAAACTACAGCCTTTCTGGTAAGTACATTTTATTATATTTCATCTTTCTCTCATGCAAAGAAGTATGTTCTTTTAGGATAAAGAGAACTGTCCTGCTTCCTTGTGTACATTTCTTTCTTCATTGCCCAAACTTTGATGGTCTTAGTAGAGAGATTAGTGAATTGAAAAATGAATTTTCTAGGGACCGTTATGCCCAAATTTTCCTTGGGTCTGGACTTAGTTTTTTTTTGCCATTAATTTTTAAAAAGGTGTGAGAAGGCTTTGTGCATTTATTTATAAAAATTATATCAGGCAGTTAAGATGAATATTATTGGTGTTCATGGTTTAAGTTTAATTTGACAACATTAAATATTAACTTTAGAGAGTTTTCAGTTTTACATATATTGGCATTTTTTTATAATTAATTTTTCATTGTACACATTGACATGAATATATTTTGTTTCAGGTGCATTTGGAAAAGCTAAAGAAACAGAACAAGTACCGTATGGTATCCATCCCATGTTTAAAGCCAGTGCCAAAATTCAAGAACCTGCACCAGTAGCTATTACACCATTGAATGACAGAGTAGTGAATGCAGAATCAATGGTTCTGTCATTTGTGGCAGAGAACTCACTGTCCTTTTCACTTGTTCCTGGACTGATAGACCTATCAAAAACTTTGGCCAGGGATAAAAAGGCATTAGACTCATTGAATATGAGCAGGACAACTGCTTCTTACAAAACTAGGTTTGGTGTAGGAAAAACATTTCAAGATATTGTGATAGAGGAAATGAGGTCAAATCAGTTTTCACTAAACATGGATGAATCAACAAGTTCAAATTTTCAGAAGGTGCTGACAATTCTTGTTAGCTATTTCTGTTCAGTGAAAAATGAAGTTGTCATTCATCACTTTAAATCAGTGACGTGTATTAAAGTTAATAGTGAATCACTGTTTATGAAATTGGTAACACTCATGGAAGAAAACAGTATACCATGGACAAATCTTATGTCTGTTTTGATGGACTCCTGCAATGTGATGCGTGGGTCCAAATCAGGACTTGAAACCAGAATAAGGACGGAAAAGGCACCTCATTTGTTAGATGTTGATGGGGATGTGTGTCATCATGTGCACAATGCAGCAAAGGCATTCTGTAAACCATTCAAGTCCTTCATTGAACTTCTTTATTATGACTTGTTCAGCGACTTCAAATGGTCACCAGATCTTAGAGAGATGTTCCAAGAGATATGCATAATGCTGAACATTAAGTATACAATGCCACAGAGATATGTTAGTCATAGATGGCTATCTGTATATGATGTAACCTTAGACACTTTAAGGCTCTTTGATGCACTTACAGTGTTCTATTTCCCCCTGCTGACAGAATCAGAAAGAGTCAAGTTTCTACCAACAATTGTAGAAGTGTACCACAGGCTAGGAGTATCACAGTCTTCTAGAGAAAGAATATCAGAAATTAGAAAGGTATTACAGTTAATGCATAAGTTTTTTGTTTGAATTGTTCAGCAGTTTAATTTTTTTTAACTACAAATTAATTTAAAACTGCATCAGTCGCATGATAACTTTTAACAGTACTTGTTTGTTTATGTGCATGATGTTTAATTTAGCAATTTGAATTTAAATGCAGCATAAATTAATGATTGATTTAACAATTTTATTTTCAGTGATGATTATTGTTTTGATAAGAAGTGCAGCATGTTGTTGTTTTTAACAGTTATTTTTTTCAGTTGAGCATGTTGTTTAATTTAACAATTTTATTTTCAGTTCAGCATGATCCTTCCCTAACTTCTGATTCATAGTCTTTTGGTGAGTAATGTTTCATTTCTATGCCAATGTAGTCAGGAAACTTGATTATTATGAGATGTTCATTCAATCTTTTCTTAGAATTCTTTTATCAAAAGTTGGAAGAGTTAATATTTGGATTTCTTTATTTATATTTTAGCAATTAACTACAATTATAAATGGACCAAAATGATGTATGGCCAAATAAACATATTTATCAATTAGATTATTTTCATTTTCATTTGATGAAATGATACGTATATCTATTGTAAATTTATGTATTTTGAGGTCAGACTATATTTTTTCCAGGACCTTACCCAGAAACAGCTAACAAAAGAGGGCCGAGACAGGAAAGACAGAATCATTAATAAGATTTTTACAGAGAGAACATTATCAAAGATGGTTATGGGACTTTACTCTTCAGTATTTCCTCTGTTGAAGAACTTTGTCTTACTGTTTGAGATGAAGGAGCCTCTCATCCACCAACTCCATGAAGAACAGGTATGTGTATGATATAAATTGTCAAATTCTACACCAGAAATGAATATTTTCATTGGATTTCTGGTTTAAGGTATTTTACAATGTAATTTGTGATGGTGTTTTCTGAATGTTGTATGTTTTTATAGTAATTTTGTGCATTTGATACATAATTTTTACACATGTTAATTGCAGTTAATTTCCCAATTTTACTTTACAGGTGAAATTATTTAAAGAATTTCTTGGTTGTTATGTTAAACCAGAAGTAATCATCTTGGGGACATCTTCTCTTAAACTGAAAAAACTAGACATAAAGACTACAGGGAATTTGTTAAAACCAGAGAGGATGTTTTTGGGAGCTAAAGCTACTAAGCTGATCCAAAGCTTGTCCACTAGAGACCATGTTGTGAAAACTTTCCTGAAACAGGTATATATTTTTATTTTTAAAGCTGTTCCTTTGACATGTTTTTGTATGAGCACACATATGGACTGCTTTTGGATAACTAAGATTAACTATGGTGCTTGAAGTATTTGTTATATCAAATGCTGATATGTGGTATATTTTAAACATTTCTGAATCAGTTATTTTTTTTAATAATTTTATTTTTTAAATACATATTTTTAAAATACATAAGTAACTAAATAGTATAATGATATCTGATGATATGGACATTGTGTTGCTGGAAGAAATATTTTTTTGAAATCATGTGAAATTATAAAAAATGTTTACCATTTCAGGTAGAGGAAGCTTATACTGCATGTGGAAAGACATTACAGGAAAAACTTGCTCTGAGTAACACTTTCCTCAAAGCAGTGTCAGCCATTCATCCTGATGCTAGTGGACATTCAGTCACTCTAACATTCTTACAGAAACTTCCTAATTTGGCCCCCAATGTGTTAACAGAGGAAGAAACTAACACCTATGATTTGGAAATCCGAAAATATCAAACTGATGACCTGCCTGAATTTGAAGATGGAACCAGAATTGACCACTGGTGGGGTAGGGATGATATAAGGAAAAGATATCCGTGTCTCTGTAAAATGGTGAGGTCTTTACTGTCATGTTTTCATGGGCCTCAAGTTGAATCTTCTTTCAACGTCATGAATGACATCATTGACAACAAGTCTGGGAGAATCAATATTGAGACATACAATGCAATTCAAAATGTTAAGTATAGTCTCAAAGCCTGTGAAAAGAGTGCAATTGCCTTTCACAACAAACAAGATTTTCTCCATGAAGGTATAAATCCCAAACTTGTAAAAAACATGAGATCATCATGTAAGCAGTATAAGCTTGAGTTAGAGATGAAAAGAAGTGCTCTAGAAGAGAAAAAGAACAGGTTAAATGTAACAACGAAGACATCAATGGTTACAAAAAGGAAAGCTAAAGAACTGTGTGCTAAAGCAGCCAAGAAAGCAAGAAAAACTCATCAGCAATGTATTGCAAGAGGCTCAAGTCTTGCAAAGAAAAGCTGAAACAATGAACATTAATGTACATATGTGTATATATATCTGTATATATGATGTTAAAACTGTTTTTATATAAAATGGAGATTGTACATACTATTTTAAAGAAGTTTTGACTTGTCTTTGATGGATTGCCTAGTGTTGTATAAAAATTAAATATGGCTACATTGTATGTGAGACTATGGATGTTAATATTTTGTAAGTAACCATCAATTCATTATTATTTTTTAAATGAGAAGTTTTAACCTAGACCAGAACATATATATATATATAGAAAATATGATGATTCAGGTACTTCATGGCTAATGTTAAATTTTCATATTATATTATTTTCTACTTTTCTTTGAAAATTTTTGCATAAATTGGAAATTTATTTAAAAAATGCACTGTAAAATGATGTTTTCCAGCTTTCAAATTTTGTGCCAGGAGATGCCAGAATTCAGGATTTTGCACCATTTTACCCCAGAGCTTCTGGGGGCCTTAAGCGGCCACCAGACCCCTCGCCGTAAGGGCACCTCGCTTCGCGAGGTGCATTGACTCACTTTGTGAGTCAGTCTCTCAAATTTATAATTTTCAGTTTTTTTTTTTAAATGCCAGAATCATGTCTGAATATCACATTGCATTCCTTACACAGATTACAGTCAACTTGATGTATTATTAGCAAACAGAGGCCTAGTTTTTCTAGACATCAATGAAGTTCCACAGACTATCCGACAAAGCATTACTAAGGCTACAGTTGAATTTGCAGGAGTGAAATTTAAAACCAAGGCAACATCTGGAGAGGAATATTTAAGTCATGTCACAAAAGGAGTTATAGGAAGACTTTTAAAACCATCACATTTTCCAAATATGAACCGCATTGTAATTTGCGAAGAAAAATACAGCTTCACTCCTGATGATTTTAAGGCAGCTACCAGAGTTAAGCGTCAAAAAACCTCTGCAACCTCCATATCCCATCTGAAATTAGAGTCCAGAATATTGTCTGATGACAAAATGTCGAAGTCTGCTCTAATACAAACAGAACTTGGAAAAAGACTCATTAGCAATTACCTAGCTAGGAACATTCAAAATTTGGATATTAAAAGTGATATTATTGTAGATATTGACAGTGAGCTTGTGCTAAATACTTCATGTCTTCATACAGAAGGGGATTGTTCATGCCCATATAAATCGCACTCAACTCCTATCCGTGGAACATTTTCGAAAGTAGATGGTTTTCTTCAGCAGCAACTTCTGCATCATATAAAACAGAGGAAAGGTGAAGCTGAAATGTCCCAAGTAGACTGGCTTGATGATATGAAAAATGAACTTCTTGTTAATGATGCCATTGTATCCGTCGTAACATCAGCAGACATTGATAGCATTGTCATTCATCTTTTTAGTTTGTCTCTTTTTTGGCCAAGAGACGAATCGGGCTCCTTCAAAAACAAGGTGTATGTCCTCCTTCAGAAGCAAAAGTCAGAACTGTATGATATAACCGGTATTATTGAATTGCTGGAATCAAGATTTTCTAGGAAAAGCATATGCACAATTGCTATTTCATTATGTTTAGGAGGAAATGACTTTATTCCAAAATATCAAGGTATATCTCATGAAAAGTGGTTATCGGTTATAATTGATACGCCAGGAGCATTACAAAATTTAGTGCATTTAACAAATGAGAAGCCAACAGGAATATTGAACGAAGACCTGTATTTGGAAATTGTCAAACGATTATATTGCCCACAAAACATTAAGTCAGAATTGCTTAGTTTAGACGAAGTCCGCCAAATTTCAATTAAACCTCCTGGAAAACCAATCAGACACCCTAAACTTTGGATGCCACCAAAATCTGCACTGAAGCAAGTTTTAAAACTTATCAATTGCCAAATTGCCTACTTGTTAACAACTTGGAAGCATGATGCAGTTTTGCCAGATTTTCAAAAGGATGGTTGCTTAAGAAAAGATGCGAGTGGAAATGTCCATTATGACTTTGGAAAAGATGCACGTATTGAAAAAATTGAGGACCAATTATGTATAGATGAAAAAGTATTGAAAGGTAAAATGGACGAGGCATCTTCATGTACTAAAAGAAAAAGAATAGCTGGAACACCAGTAAAAAACAACAGACGAAAGAGAAGGCCTATAATGTCTACTCCTGTGTAAGTAAAACTAAAGTTATCATTTTTTTAAACTCGTATTGTCATGATAAATTATGCATTCAGATAAATCTGTATATATGAAAATAAAAAGATGTGGTATGATTGCCAATGAGACAACTCTCCATCAGAGACCAAATGACATGAAATAACTTAATGTTGTAGTACAGCCTTCAACAATGAGCAAAAACCGATGCCTCATAGTAAGCCATTAAATGTCCCAAAATGAAAAATGTAAATCAAACAAGAAAACTAATTGCCGGATTTGTGTACAAAACAATAAACGAAACGTTAGTGCTTTCACTTACAAAAAAGAAAATTTATCTAATTTAACTGAATTTTTAAGTGATTTTTGTTTTAATTATTTTTACTCTTAACGTATTGAAAACATATTTTTTCAATCTACAGGAAGATAAAAATTAACCAAGATGAAGACCACAATTAAACAGAAAACACATACTGTATTCATAATTTGTAGAAAAAAACACTATTTTGGAGGACTTTATTGTGTGCTACTTCAACTTGTGCAATTGATACAGGAACTTATATGATTATGATGTGTGCCAGGAATACTGATGATTGTGTTTGGAATATATTTAAATTTCATACTAATAGTAGTCATATATAATGTTAAGTTGCAGAAATGTAGAACTGAAAAGTGACCTAAAACATGATCATATAGAACTTGTAAATATGTAAAAAAAAATCTAAATACATGCTGTATTAACATATGTGTTTGCTCCGTGTATCATAGAAATTTTAGTTATGTAATGTGAATAACTAACTCTCCCTTTTTTCCCCTTTCCTTTCTTCTATTTTGAAAGGAACAAGAAACAACTCTTTGAATATGGTTGTGTGTCTGTATTAAGTTTATTTTTTTATACTCTTTACAAGAATAAAAGAAAATGATGAAACAGAGTGTATCAAGAATAAAATATAAGATTTTCTTTCTGGTTTTTTTTTTGTGTGTGAAGAAAATATTTTAAATGAAATTTTTAAAAATTTCATTAGTACTTAAAACTTGTAAATGGTGGCTTTTTTTTTGGAAATACATTTGATTTTCTCCAATTTTATAGAATTTAAAAATAAAATCTTATTTAGAGCCCTAATGATTTAATTTTAAATTAATTAAAAGATCTCTTTTCAAATGTATTACATCATTTACATGTATAGTAATTGCTTTATTGAAAAATAATAATTTGATAAAAAATTGTAATTTCTGTGTATGTAAATTCATAAGTCTGAAGACAGTTTGCTACTGATTCTTATAAATCTGTTCATGTGTAATAAAATATTTCTGTGTAACAGTATTTTTACAATCCATAGTACACATCTGGTCATTTCTTATTTCTTATCAGTCATCTACAATATTCTGGTCATCAGACAAATGCCTGCTGTGAAGACCAATAAACAAGTGTTTGGTTATATGATTTATCAGTGATCTGTTAATTGGTTAATGTTCTGGCTATTAAGCTGATGAAACATAGAATCTGGCGTTTGTCCTATAACTGATATGTGAAATTTAATAAGGGGTTATAATTATTTGCTAGACGAAACGAATCTATAATTTAATCTAGATATGCAGATTTTAACTAAACAAATGATTAACTACGCAAACATTACTCCAAGTACAGTACTTGTCTGTACTTCTACAAGGAGGGTTAATATTTAAAAAGAGAGACAAACGATACCAAAGGAACAATCAAATTCAAAGGTCGAAAACAAACCGACAAAGCCATGGCGAAAAACGAAAACCGACGAGAAGACAAACAGCAGCCAACATATCACAGCATAGAAAACAAAAAACTTAGCAACACGAAACCCATTTAAAAACTGGGATGATCTCAGATGCACCGGAAGGAAATTGGATCCTGCATTTTGGCCACGGAGGATTTTTTTTCAAATATGAAAGTAATTGTGCAAAAACAATCTTTTTTAGAAAGCCTTCAAAGTTTGTTTATATGAACATCAAGATTATTTTTCACTCGTTTTATGGGTTATTTTCTTTTTGACAGTCCGTATTTTCCTTAGATCCAGAAATTTTTGTAGTACAAAATGTATATGTTTCAACACAGGGAGAAAATTTCGCACCTGATGGCGGGCTACATCTGGCCCCTAAAAGAAAATGTGTACTAATTCATTGAAGAGGTCCCTGACTTGGGAGAGGCACAAACATGCAGCGGGGCCAAATGTTTTCAAAAATTTTTTTCACACGATCTTTTTGACGCAACTTTACAAAAAAATGAGACGAAAGTCAAATGATTTTTATTTGATCTCTTGATGGATATATGTGAACAGTTTGAGAAAAGGTATCACTCCAAGGGATTGAAATTTCAACTTTTGACCAAATTTTGAGGAAATGTGTGACACCTTTACACCACTTTTAGCAAAAACATGTAGGTTTGTGCCATGGATACGTCAAAAATACATTCTAGCTTTAACCTTTCAACTTCTGGATATCAAATCTATACAAAATACTGATTACATACATATACACAAATATTACACAAACAGTAGGTTTAATTTGTGAGAAAGGAAAGAAAAAGGGCTGGTAAAATTTATGTATATTGTTATCTAACATAAGTACCAATATGAGGACAAATCTCATTTCATGATGTCATTTTCAAGAAAAGAGCAACGAAAGCTACCATAACATATCAGCTTCCTACTCTACTTTCAGGACTATTTTATAAACATTTGGGGTCTTCTTTGTTGAACTCCTGCAAGTCTTTTATTTTGCCCATACAGCTGTCGTCGTGTCAACCTCTGTCTCACCTAGATTCTTTGGCGCACGTTGCTGTCTACGACTTTTTGTTCGTCTTCTACGCCCTTTTCAAGGTACTTCACAGCTATTAACCTGACATTCTGGAGGACTAACCACATTGCCTACAAATCCAACTGTTTTATTTCGACGTAGATATCTTAAATGTCTGATTTTACTCAGAGCTTCTGTAAACTACTGAATCTAACCAAATGAATAGAATTGAGAATGTGTCCATGGGACACAAATAATGGCCCGCTTGCATATATATAGCATTATAAAGGGTCATTACTCAAAATCGATAAAAGTGACGCCATCCAAATTAGCACATGATCTGTGTATTATGGTAATAAGCAT